GCTTTTGGCTGGGCCTGGCTTTGGGACAGGGGCAGGAATGGGCTCGTAAAGAGATGGACTTGTGGCCAGAGGGAGGCTGGATGGACAAGACATGTGAGTATGGAGGTCTTACATTCTAGGCGGACCCCTGGAGACACAGCTAGGGCAAAGAGGGGTGAAGACACTGCAAGAGAATGCAGGGGCCGGATCCTGAAAGGCCTGGAATGCCATGCTCAGGAGTGTGCACTGTCTCTAGGGGTCACTGAACTGAGGATCTGAAACAGACGAGATGTCATCGGTTGTGCTTTAGGACATTCCTATTCAAGCTGTGGTCCAGAGACAGTGGCATCAGCAACAACCTGTGGCTTGTTAGAAATGCCCCATCTCAAGCCATACCCCAGGCATACTAATCAGAACTAATGGGATCCTCAGGTGATTCTCATGGACATTTACCCCTTTCAGCCAAACTGAAAGGTTGGAGAGCACAGTGCTCCCAACTGCCAAGTCTGCCCAATGCTTCTGACCCCAACTGCAAGGAGGTAGGGTCCAACTATGAAGTTAGAGGGAAGAATCCTCCTAAGACCAACCTCACTTCTGACACTAACTGCAAGTTTGGGAAGCTTCCTAAAACCATTCTAGGTTTCAATAATTCTCTAGGACTCACAGACCTCACAGAAAACCGTGATAATCATGGATATGGCTTATTGCAGGAAAAGGATACATTAAAATCAGCCAAAGGAAGAGATGCATAGGATGGAGTCTGCAAGGGCTGCAAATGCATAGCTTTCATTGCCCTCGGGATGTGCTAGTTTCTCAGCATAGAGGTGTGACAATGTGGATGGCACGCTGTGCCAACCTGGGAAGCTCACCTGTGCTTTGGTGTCCAGAGTTTTTATTGAGGGTTCATTATACAGGCATGACTGGTCGATGGCCCACAGGGTAAACTCAATCCCCAGCACCTACTCCCTAGAGAAGACCACCATGAGTCACCTTGTTAGCATAAACTATCAGGTGTGGTCAGAGGGGCCACCAAAAATAACAGTACAATCACTTAGGAAATTTCAAGAGTTTAGAGGTTACCCACCAGGAGCCTGGAACAAGGTCAGACCTCTCATTGGGAAAGGCCAAGTTCTTTACTATATAACATTAAAGTCTGAGAAGTGTTGCTTTAGGAAGGGGTGGAATCTTGTTGCTTCCGTCTCAGATGCCTCTTCCCCTTAATAAGTTCAGAACAGAATTGCGTATGTTAGATTCTCCGTCTGTGATGATCGAATTTCTTCCCTTGGGCTCCTATCCTTTCTCTTCTGCATAAACCCCTAGGCAGTCATCAGTTTGGTGAGGCCTCTGAACTTCTGCTCTGTATAAAGTCTTTAAATGTGTAAAAAGACATAGAATTCCAAAGGAAATCAATTAATATTGAAATACAGTTATCCAAATGTTCAGGAATTTGTGGTATTGTAATAAATGCGCTTTTTATTAGCACTTTAAATAGCAAACTAGCAGAAGGTTTAATAATTACTGTGATTTCAAAGTAGTGTTAGATATTTAAAAATATCTGATTTAGGTAGCAACAGTTAAGTGATATGAAAATATCCATGGATTTTATTGGTGAAAGCCCCAGATTCTGCTACTGCTACTGTAGTTTATTGTCTACATTCAGAATGCAAGAAAATGCTAAATTTCAGACCATTAGTGGAAAAAAAGAGGTAAAGAGGTAACTTCTTTTCCTGCTCAAGTTCATAGATTACTGAATTCTGTCCATAGACCTGTGCATCCCAGGTTAAGAAGCAGGCTAATAAACCCTGCTTCAAAGTCTTGAATGACATGTACTTATTTTTAATTGGACACTGAATGAAAATTCAATTTGTTTTGAGAAATTTTTGAGAAGTTTGAAAGAGTCATTGAGATAATTGGAAGCACCCTGGAGTTGCACAAAACTTGAACTAGGACTTGATATGCTGGTGTCTGATGGATTTATGGATAAATGTTAGTGGAGATATTGATGACCTATAATCCCTTCATCTGAAAAATTTACATTATGTGATGCGGCTCAAAGGTGGGCTTGCCTTTTCCAATGATCAAAAATGGCATTTTAAATTTATTCAACCCAAAAGCACTGGCCTAATGCCAGGGTGAGGATGGAAGAAAAATAAATGAAAGTTAAGAAAAGCTGAAAGAAAACCAACTGTGCACAGCCTTTGGGAAATCCATTTGCAGCCACCAAGAGTCAGCGAGTCCATCTGGAGAAAGCCAACATTTCCACACTATTCAGGACAGAAAAAAATGGATAAGACCCAAGAACAAGACTAATGTTTGAAGAAAAGGCATTTTCAGCATGACCTACAAAGATTTTGATTATGTTAATTACTTTTTGAATAATTTTTCACTGGCACTGTAAAACCTTCTACTCACAGAAGGGTTTCCCTCTGTGTTCTCTTTAGGGATGTGAAGGCAGACATTGACTGTTGGTTGCATGCCAGTGCTGTCAGAGTGGAGTGTTCCCTGAGAGGGCAGGGGCCGGGAATCCTTTTGTATTTCTATGTAACTCACAGGTGACAGGCTCTTGGAATGGATCCCCTTTGGGGATCAGACCCAGTAGGGATGAAAGCCTTCTGGTGAGGTTCAGAAACACTCTTGTTAGAAGTTTTTGTTTGTTTGTTTTTTTAAAATATGGGGTCTTGCTTTGTCACCCAGGCTGGAGTACATTGGCATGATCACAGCTCACAGCAGCCTCGAACTCCTGGGCTCAAGCAATCTTCTTACCTCGGCCTCCCAAGTAGCTGGGACTGCAGCGATGTGACACTGATGTGGTTTGGATCTGTGTCCCCACCCAAATCTCATGTTGAATTGTAATCCAATGTTGGAGGTGGAGTGTTGTGGGAGGTGATTGGATTGTGGAAGTAAATTTCTTCTTTGGTGCTGTTCTTATGATAGTTCTTCTGAGAGCTGGTCATTTAAAAGTGTGTGGCACCTCCCTGTTCTCTTTCACTTCTGCTCCAGCCACATAAGAAGTGCCTGCTTTCTGTTCACCTTCTGCCATGATTGTATGTTTCCTGAGGCCTCCCCAGAAGCCCAGCAGGTGCCAGCATCATGCTTCCTGTACAGCCTGTGGAACCATGAGTCAATTAAACCTCTTTGCTTTATAAGTTGCCCAGGCTCAGGCATTCATTCATTCATTCATTCATTTATCTCTCTCTTTTTCTTCCTTCCTTCCTTTTTTCTTTCTCTTCTTTCTCTCCTTCCTTCCTCCCTTCCTCCCTCCCTCCCTTCCTCCCTCCCTCTCTCTCTCTCTTTCTCTTTCTTTCTTTCTTCTTTTTTTTTTGAGTTTCACTCTTGTTGCCTAGGCTGGAGTGCAATGGCACGATCTTGGCTCACTGCAATCTCCACCTCCCAGATTCAAGCAATTCTCCTGCCTCAGCCTCCTAAGTAGCTGAGATTACAGGTGTCTGCTACCATGCCTGGCTAATTTTTTGTGTTTTTAATAGAGATAGGGTTTTACCATGTTGGCCAGGCTGGTTGCTAACTCCTGACCTCAGGGGTGATCACCCGCGTTGGCATCCCAAAGTGTTGGGATTACAGGTGTGAGCCATCACACTTGGCCTCAGGCATTTCTTTATAGTAGTGCAAAAATGGACTAATACAGCCACCATGGACTAATACAGCGTCTTATCAGAAGTTTGACAATGCGAAGGTAAGAGGGAAAGTTCTGCCTTGCTTGGCTGTGGCAGACCTGCTGCTTCAAAGTCTACTTGACTATGGCCAATTAACATCTGAGTCACAGGAAACTTCTTGATAACCCAAGGAATAGAAGCGAGGAGCCCTTTGGGACATGAGGCAGAAACACACAGCCCTGGTATAGGGCTGAGCCCACCACAGAGAGCCCAGGGAGAGATGTGCTTGGTGTTGGATGGGGCACTGAAGGGAGTATGTTCCCTTTGAAAGTTGGGTTATAACTTAAATACAGCGTGTTCAAGATGAAATTCAGAATCTCTCCCTGTTCCTTTGTCTTCTCCAAGGGAGTAGTGAAGCCAGAATCTTAGCTGTGATCTTCCTCCTTAATCCCCATGTCCATTCCATCAGCAAATCCTACCTAATTGTCCGTGAAACCTGTCCACATCTTTCTCTCCACATCTGCTACCGTCACTCTTGTCCCAGCCACTGTCTTTCTCCAAGAGTCAAGGACTAGACAAAGGGCTTCTCATTCATTTCCATGACTCACTCTGCCCCCTTTAACGGATTTTCCTGTGAAACTTTCATAAGGAAAGCAGAGAAAATGAATTTTTTGGTAGCCATTATATTTCAATTCTTTAATTGATTCGTTCAGTACGTATTTGTTGAGTACCTACTACGTCCAACAAACTCTGTTTTAGGCCTGGCAAACTGGGGCGTGTAATCAGCCTATCTCTCGTGGTGTTGAGTGTTATCTTGGAACCATCTCCAATTTCCGTGTCTCTGTTCTCCGTAAGTGACAATCATTGGGATTTTTTTTAGACAGAGAATCTACATCAAAGCTTAACCATTTTGTTTTTCATGTGGTGATAAAAATTTCAAACAGAAAGAGGAGTTTGGAAAGCAAAAGACCAAGGACTTGCTATCCAGTACGAACAGATGAGCACATTTAATCCTATTTGCATCAAATCTTTCTCAAAAGATCAGTCAAATGCTACCCTTACTGCTGAAGTTCCCTTTGTGCTTGTCCTGATCCCATTCTCCCGTTCTTCCAGCTGGCCACTCCCCTCAGGTCGATCTATTCTTCCTATGTGTTAATGTCTAAATTACATATGGATATATTTATAATCTCTCTCTTCGAATTTGTGAATTTAAAAGATTAACATAAGTGATATCATGCTATAAATATTCTGCAACTTGCTTTTTAAAATTCAAACATTATGCTTTAGAAAGGAATCTATGCTGATAATATAGATCAGGTGTATCCATTTTAATGGCTGTATACTATTCCAGCCTATGAACACATCACAGTTTGTCTCTGCATTACTCTCTCTCTCTCTCTCTCTCTCTTTTGCTGTTGATAGATAGGTAGGTCTTGCATTTATTTTGCAAACAAGACCTGTTCTATCTAACTTTTCATTAAGGAGGCTAAAAGCAAAGCCAGCTTGACTTCAAGGACTCTGTTTTCTTAGTCTCCAGGTCTCTGTGTTTCTCTATTGAGGGCTATTTAAGTTGGTACTTATTTTTGATGACAGATGATGCTGCAGTAAATATTTTTATTCTTCTCTCTGTGAGCACACACGTGGGATGTTTATATATTTTCAGTCTTTACCAGATACTGGCAAATCACTGTTCAAAGAGGCTAGCTTGTGATGTGCTGGGAAAGCTCTAGAATTGAGAACCAGAAGACTTGGCTGTAGTCCAGTTCTGGTACCAACTCCCAACGTGACCTCGAGCTTTCACTTCCTTCCCTGACTTAAGATGAAGGCCTGGACCAGCAAATCTCTACATTTCCTTCCTCATGAGCTAGTTAAAGAAATGTTTTGTAGAAAGGTCTTCCCTCCTACGAATAAAAGAAATCTCCCCAAGGTGGGGTTGCTGTAAACCCTAAAGAAGGGTTTATTAGATAAGGCAGTTGAACTATTTGAGTTCCTACCAAGTGTTCGGCATGGTTGTATTACACTTGACTGACTCAGGGAAATTAACTTGTCTTCCCAGGACCGCAGAGCTGAGAAGTATCAGAACTTGGACTTGAATCCTGGTCTGAGGGATTCCAAAGCCCAAGTTCTATTATCATACAAGCTGTTTCTGCTTTGCCACAGGGCAAGTTATTTTCCAGCACCTCTATCTGGATTGTTGCAATGGCATTATCCTTGGGAGTCTCAGTGGGCAGACACTGTAGATACCAAGGGGCCCCTGCCCTGTGCAGAGATTAAAGCCCAGGCCCTGCCCCAGAAATTCAGAGCTGAGCCTTTAGACATGAGGAGAGGCTAAAAGAGAGCCCTCCTTTGGGGAGAAGATAAGGAACGAATGAAGCTGACCCAGAGGCTGAGGACATCACAAAGAATGAACTCTGAAGGCATTTATTCTCCAACTACAGCTAATGAACCAGTGAGGAAATGGCATCAATAAGAAGCAAATTAAACATCAGCTCTAGTTAATTCGTAAGCACAGCTGCCTGCCTTCCTGTGTTCAATTTCAGACTCACATTATGAATTGCCTCCCTGGAGAAACCAAACCTCCTCCCCCTGCAAAAAGGCCTTGAGCCAATAAACCAAGTTTTAATGGAGCGGTATCTTTCAATAGAAGGACAGCAACTTATCTCTGGGTCCTAGCTCTGTGGTGACACAAACTCTCTGAGCTGCCCAATCTCACTCAAGGTTAGTAATTAAGGTATAATTGAAATGAAATTAATTGCAATAAACGTGTAATTAGCACAGCCATTGATTAAGGGCATTTGAAACATGGTCTGTGCATAAGACATTGATTGCCATGCTTTCTTTGATAAATGTAATTGCAATGATATCTTTTGTTACTCTAGAAGGTCTTTTCTTGTGTAATGAATTTCTACAGGAAGGACTGGCCTTGAAGCCATCAGACTTCCTGAAAATCAGAGATATAAAGAGTATATTCCAGGCCCCAGTCCTGTTGAGCGTGAACTTTTTGCCCCAGATTTCCAGTAGGATTTGTTTCAAGGTGGCTCCTTAGATTATATGGCACCTTAGTGCAAATGGAAAAAAGACATCCTTTCTGTAGAGAAGACCCAGCCCATGCCAGGATACACACCTTGGCAAGTAGAACACAGGCTGGATTTGAACCCTCACTGTTCAATTTAGTTGGGCCCCTTTGTGAGGTGAACAACTTTTCCGCTATACATAGCAGACTTGGTATCCTTTTCCATGTAGGAGGAGTCAGGAAGGCAAAACCAGGCCTTATTGGTTTGAACTTGCCCAAGAGCAAAGCCTACGGATCTTGTTTCCCCTCCCCACTTTCCCTACCTACTTGACTGATTGGATGCTATGCTGAAATTGACATTTAGAATTCCGGGACTTTTAGCTGTAGCCACATGGAAAAGAGAGTGAGACTGGGCTAGGCGTGGCCTGTTGGAGTGTGGTGTAATTTGGCACAGGATTGGGCAATGGGCAGTTCATCGTCTCAACCACACTATCAGAGGGGGCACAGTGACCTCAGGTCAGTCAGCCTGGTATTCACATGCAGGGGTCAGACATGGCAGGTGGGCAGGACCTGTTAAAGGAGTTGGTGGGCAGCAGTGCTGGAGGTCCCTTGGGTGCTATACTGAGTCTGGGGGTATCGGTAGTGGGGACCAGCTCTGAGTCAGCGGGGGAAGTGTAGTATGCTAGGGAGCATGAACCAGCTCGGCCCTTGCCTGAAGCACGGCTGAGTCCCAGGCTGGGCAACAAAGGGATGGAAGGTGATGTTTGATGCTCAATGGCAGCCATTCCTCAGCTTTCTGGGCTTGAGAAGGAAGAGTCCTGAGTGATCCTGGGGCTTTCCCCGTGTGTGTGTGTGTGTGTGTGTGTGTGTGTGTGTATGTGTGTGTGTGTGTGTAGTACTCTTCATACTGAGGAGTTTGCTCAGTCATGAAACCATTTATTTTTTCATTCATTACTCAGTAAATGTTTAGAGATCCCTTCTATGTGCAGGTGTTATGTTAGCTGTTAGGAATAAGCGGTGACCCAGTCCATGATAACAGAGTTCAGGGTCAAATGGAAAACATAGGCTTTAAATAATCACATGGACTTAGAGACCCCCCCTAAGTTACAAGGTGGGACAAATGCTTCGAAGGTGTGCTGGGCACCTTCTGTTTGCCCCTCCAGATCTATGCTCTACTCTCCTCTTCCCTTCTTTGTGTCCCGGAGGTGATCACCATGGATTGCATCAGCCATTCTGTTCTCTGCCTCAGGTCATACTGAGCCAATGGGGGCCAGGCAGAAAAAAATATAATTGGTGTATTTATTCCGCCGGATCACTGGAGATTGGCTATATCTTTACTGAAGGCCTCAGTTAATCTTGCAAAATTCAGTCTAGATACGGAAAGTCTTTTTCTTCCTGGCCTTAGCTCCTTATGGCCAGCAACCAAGTTGAGCCCCAACAGAGGAGGGAGTGGAACCATGCTGGGCCCTCTGAGGTCCACACAGGGAGCTGTTCCTTCATCCTCATCAGCAGATTTAGAATAAAGTTTGTGCCTCACACATGCTATGGTTTCCATGGTTACTGTAAAGGCATTCTAAATGTAGATGATGCTATAATAAGCTGGAATGATTCTTTTGGGGGAAAAAAGTTTTGACCCTCTTCTTACAATGAATGACTCAATGACCCAACAGGTGTGGTGACTGCACATGTCACTATGGAATGATCCATTTGGGCCATGGGCAGTAGTAAAATGCCTTTAGAGTGCCTCTTGCCACCATCTCAGGCAAAGCTCTTATCCTGCAAATGGAAAAACTGAAGCCCAAAGAAGGGAAGAGACTTTCCCTGAGTTCCCTAGAGAGCTGAAGCCTGAACCAGGACTAGCTGCAGGTCACCAGGGCAGGGTGTTCCTGGGGAACGAGTCCTGAACTTGACATAAGAAAGACATGAATATGCACCTTGCCTTTTAGAGCCTTCTTTTTTAAACCTGTGATATTATTTGTATTAGTTGGTGTAACATATGCTGGTTGCTGTAACAAACAACTCCAAAATCTCAATGGCTTTTCAAGAGTAAAAGTTTTGTTTCTTGCTTGGGCATTTGATGGATGACCTTCCATGCTGGGACCCAGGTTCCTTGCAACTTTTAGTTGTACCGTCTCTAAAGATCTTGAAGTCATTCAGTAGATCATCTTGCATTGGAAGAGCAGGTGATGACCGGCCTCCTTCTGCTAGGAGGCTACCTCTGATGAAAAAGGTGGCGGATCCATAGCAGGGAACACGGAACAGACTGTCCTCCAGCCAGGAATTGGATTGCTACATTTTGGAATCTATTATTCCTGCCAAACCTAGCCTACTCTGGCTAGGCTGAAGGTCTCTGAAACAGTACAAGAAGCTGGTTTCCCTCTTAAGGATCTATTCAAGCCTTCCACTTCTACATGGTTCTGTCATCAGCTGCCACATTGTAGCTCACATTTTAGGGAGGACACAAGTTATAGGGGAAAGATGAGAAATTTTGAAATCATGCAGACCTGCATTTTATCTTTGTCTCCACTCCTTGTTAGCCATGGGATCTCGGCCAAGTCATTCACCTTCTCAGAGCATCCCTTTATTAAAAATGGGGATAATTAATAAAGCTGTGAAGATTAAATGGGCTAATGTAGGGCAATGTTTGTTCCTAGTAGGTGTTCAATAAACACGGTCTTTATTACCTTCTTAGTCTGATCCAGAGATGTGTTTAGGACCTGGAACAGCTGGTCCTTAAAAACAGTGACAACTTACTCCTCCATGGTGAGCCTCATTTCCTGCATCTTCATCTCTTTTTATCCTTGTCCTGATAGCTGTGGGTGGAGTATATTCCCTAAGAGAAGCTCCACCTTCTTAGACTTTTCCTACCACTCCAAGCTCTGCAACCAGCCTACAATGCTGCCAACTCTAACAGGCCTGAGTGGGAAAGGCTGGTAAACATTGCTTAGGACCCACAGGGCTGAACCATGTAGTTTTTTGGAGGCCGTTAGATGACTGGATTTTATTCTAAATGCAACAACAAAAAAACCCCACTGATGAATGATAAAATATGAGAGAAGAATGACACCATTTACATTTTAAAAGAGACGCTTTTCCTCCCTTGCTGTGCAGAGAATGAATTGTAGAGGTATGAAAATAGAAGCAGATCTCTTGGGGTGGCAGTAGCGGGGATGGAGAGAGGTAGACAGATTTAAGAACTGTTTAAGAGAAGAAATCAATGAGACTCGATACCTGGGGAGTTCTCCCAGAACATAAGAATCTGAAAGTGATGAGAGGGAAGATGAAGGATATGAAGTGGATGCAACACAGACTCAAAACCTAGAACATTGTTCCAGTAGCAATACTAGCAGCGGTGGCAGCTGCAGCGGAAGCAGCATCTAACGGTGCAGTTGCAGAAAGCTTAACTGAGCTAAGGGAAGACTTGAACCTGCAGATGGAAAGTCTTCCCATGAATTTAACATAAAGAAACCATCCCCTCGTCACCACCCGGGAAAATGTTACATTTCAAGGATAAAGAAATAATC